ATTAATTTCCTTAATTCAGCAACACTAGCTGTGGTGAGGCTGTGATTTAAATCCAGTCTGGTATACACTCCGGTGTCTTTCAGTAACCTTTGGAGCCAGAAAACATTTGGAAATGAGCTAGAAAAAATAATCCAGAGTCAATAACATCCAATGCCACAGCACAGAATTTGCAAGTTAAGACACATTTACCTAGCCACTGGGACAGGGAGGTCATTGAAGACCTCCAGCTGTGCGACCCACAGCTGTATGAGTCAGTTTGATGTAGTTAAGGGGTCTCTGCTGGTTCTGTTCTTTTAAATGGTGCTGTGTGTACAAATAAGGAACACTTTGCTAATAATACAAAAAATACTTTGTCTTCATCACAGCTCTTTTGAGGTAAGGATTTTATAGTGCTATTTTTATTTGAATAATAAACTGAATTTAAGTTTAATTGACTATCCTGATTTAAGATTGCAAAAAAATATATATATATATTTAGATGGAAGATTCATCTTGGGCTCCCTCGTGAAATTCTTTTTGTCTGCAATACACCGTAAATGTGGGAGGGAGACTCTTAGAAATCAGCGTTTGAATGTGTCTAGAGTATATTGATGCGAGGGAAAGTCAACATTAAATGAATGACCACTTATGACCACTTATAATGGAAAATGTAGTTCCCATTAGAGATTGATTTAAGGAGCTCTGGTTCTTCACTGAAGCATGAAGGCTGCAGTGTGATGTTCTGTGCAAATCATTTTTATAGCATTCTCTGCTAAGCTCTTTCTGGTTAATCTGTTGGTGTGTCTAAACCTGTAAGGACTGCATCTGTCTTGTTTAAGGAATATAAAAATTTCCAGAAACTTAAACCAAAGATTAGCATATTTTTCATTTGTCTAATAGGATATTGAAAAATAAAAAAGTCTTACTGGTTGTAATCAGACACAGCAGTACCAGATGTCAACTCTTGGATCATTTAATTTTTTTCTCGTGTGCATATTTTCATTAATATTTTTCTACTTGAACCAAATATTAGTTTCTGGCTCAGCTTGCAGTATACAAATTTTCCAATTAGATTGCCGTAACTTCATTTCTATTCATGATGGGAAATTTAATAGAGATCATTACTTTTGTGACATGTAGGAGATGAACTTTAAAATAAACCATTTGGCCCAGGCTAGGGCAGAGAGCCTAGGATTCTGATCCTTCCCAGAGTCTGAGGGAGGCTGGCATGAGACTCCATCTTCCATCCCTAAGTAATTCTTAATTTGGGAGGAATTTTTGGATTTGTATTGGTCTGCCATACAATTGACCTTATCCCCAGTTCTGGATTAATTTAACTCCTTGCTTAGCTTTTATATGGATTTTCTGCCTACTTGTGTGCCGGTTATTTAGGGAAGTATAGTCAAAGTGAAACATGGTGATATTTGACTCAAAGTTTATTGTTGGTGCAAGGAGACTGAGTGAAGTGCTGTTGTCACAAAGTATATGATTAAGTGCCGTGCAGTAAGTAATAGGTGACATATGAAGTAAGCTCCTTAGGGGAGAGAAGGGCACACAAGTGGTCAGGAAAGACTTCGAAGACGAATTAGGCTGTGTCAGAAGAAGGAGCTTAGCAAGGTTGCCTCATGCATGAGGCAAGAGTGAGGATAGAAGTGTGGAGTTGGGGAGGAGCCCAGGGGGTTCAAACCACACTGTGAGACTGAGCTCATGAGAGTTAGGCACTCAGCTGCCATCTTTCCTTTTTCTTCTTTCTCCTAGCACTGGAATTCTTGAATGAGTACTGACTACTCCAACTCATGGTAGTGTGGCTTCCACTCCCAGCACATCACTAGTACAGTCCCATTGATCCTCAATGACTTCCCTGTCCCAGTGGCTAGGTAAATGAGTCTTAACTTGTAAATTCTGTGCTGCAGCATTGGATGTTGTTGACTCGGGACTACTTTTTTTTAGCTTATCTCCAAATGCTTTCTGGCTCCAAAGGTTTTTGAAAGACACTATAGTGTATACCAGACTGGATTTAAATCACAGCTGCACCACAGCTAGTGCTGTTGAATTAAGGAAATTAATTAGTACCTCTCAGCCTCAGTTTAGTGGAAATAAGGATCTCTAACTCATAGTGTGGTTGTAAGGATTAAAGGATAACATAGGGATAATATGTTGAAATAAATGGCTCTGGGTAGGCAGGCATCAAGATTAGTTCCCTTCCCGTACCTGGTAGCCACTCTGTCTTTGCCTGAGTCTTTTCACTTCCATCCCTTTGCCCTGGCATTCCCTCTTTCTAGAATGCCCTATCCCTCTTCTTTACCTGTTGAAATCTTAACCACTTTGAAAGGTTTATTTTATCACCTCAAGCAGAATTGAACTTTGCATCTTTTGGATTCTTAGCATTATTCACTGGACAGCCGCAAGTTACTACCCTGTAGTTTCGTTATCTACATAGTCATATTTTCCTGATTGGATCAAAAACTCTTTGAGGGCAAAGCCCAAGTCAGGGATATGAAGATAAACTAGTAAGAGCTGAGACTGTATACTCCCTTGTTTCTGTACAGGGCTGTGTGAATAGTTGTCAGGCTTCCAACGTGATCTCATCATGATATTGCTTTTTTCTCCTTTTCTTCCTAACTACAACCATATGCTGATAATTTCTAATTCCTTTCCTCTAGCCTTCATTGCCCTTCTGTGTTTTTGATATAATCAGATGTCTGGTGAATGTATCCAGCTCCACTATCCTATAGACATCTCAAAGGCAGCATGTCCACAACTGAGCTCTTATCTCTTTCTGCTCCCATGTCCTACCTGCAGTTTGCCTTCTTCATGTATATTATACCAGATCTTTGGTGTCATAACTCACGCAGCTCCTGAAGCAGAAACTTGGAGGGCATCCTTCATTCCTTCCTTTCCTTGTTGTCTACAATGCATGAGTCACCAAATCTCAACTCCTCTGCCTCCTAAGTGTTCCTTGTATCCATCCCTCCTCTTTGTATGCCAACTACTACTGTCTAGTTTTGAGGGCTCCTCCCTCAACTAATTTGACTGTAATTTCTTTTTAGTGAATCCACTTCACCCTGTCCTTAAATCCTCTCAAGTCCATCCTCTACCTCTGTGGTCTCATTATACTACACTCCCTCATGGAAAACCCTCTGGTGGTGTCCTTTCATATACATCGGGGATGAGAAAATTGGTTTTATCTCATGGACCAGCTCTGATGGATTTGGTAATGGCTCTGCAAGTGCTGCTGCTGGGTTAAGCATGAGCACTTGGTGAAGCCTGACAAGGTGCAGTGAAGGGGTGGGCCGCATATAGCCTAGCTAGGATTAAGTCCAAGCTCCTTAGAGTGGCACACAAGGCCTTCCATGACCCAGATCCTGCCCATGTCTTCATCCTCAGCTCACTTTACCCTGGAACAGCATGGAACTATTTTGTCTTCTTGCTTTTGTTCAATCTGAACCTGCTTGCTCATACCCTTTACCTAGGAATTCCATTCTTAACATTCAACCTTAATGTGTGCGGAGGGTACCTGGGGTGGGCCTTGCATAGGGATAAGTGCTATTTAATTTTTTTAATTGGCAAATAGAAATTATACATGTTATATATTTTTCAACATGATATTTTGAAAATGGCTAAATTGAGCTAATTAAGTGCTTTCCTGAGGGCTCTTTTACAGCAGTACATATCGCATTGTCTTAAAATCCAAAGCGTCTCTCCTGAAAGACAATATATACTGTTAGGGCAAATATCATGTCTTTATCTTTGTCCTCTGGTACTTACCACAGTCCCTTTCATGTAATATGTATTGTGTATTAAATTGTGTATTGAATTGAAATAAATTAGTAAATAATTTTGATTGTGCATTGCTTTGCTTTATTTATTTATGTTTATTAATTTTTTTTTTTTTTGAGACAACAGTCTCCCTTTGTCATGCAGGCTGGAGAGTGCAGTGGTGCCATCTCAACTCACTACAACCTCGACCTCATTGGTTCAAGTGATTCTTGTCCCTCAGCCTCCCGAGTAGCTGGGACTACAGATGTGCCACTACCATGCCTGGCTAATTTTTGGCATTTTTAGTAAAGATGAGGTTTCACCGTGTTGGCCAGGCCATACTCACACTCCCAGTCTCAGGTGATCTGCCTGCCTCCGCCTCCCAAAGTGCTGTGATTACAGGTGTGAGCCACTGGGCCCAGCCTGCTTTTTTGATTTAAATTTGATTGGTGAACCAACTTTTGCTTCAGGGTGAAAGGACAAATTTTAGGAATGTTAGTGCTCTGCAGAAATTTAGACTAGTGAATCAGGCAATAAGTAGACTTTGGAAATTTTTGAGCAGGGGAGTGGCCCTATGAAAGTGGTATTTAAGGAAGCTGGTTCTGGAGACAACCTTTTATTATGGGCTTAAACCACTGCTGGCAAGCGTGGGTGGGGGTCGCAGGGGTGGAGGAGAAGGAGAGGCAAGGGTTTAAAGCCATGCTGAGGAACAGCTTCCTGTGTCTTTGTACTTTCATTTCCACATTTGCTCAAGTGGGATGTACTTGCTGGCATGTTTCCAAAAATAAAATAGAGTGCTGAGGTTATTTTTATTTTTTAAAAAAGAATAAGATCTTGTAAAACACCTAAGTGAGTCATTTTACAAAATTATCTGAGACATATTCATTATTAATTACTTGGGAAGAGTGATTATGAGTTCAAAATTAAAAAACAAATAATTAGCATCTACATAGCTAAGCTACAATCTCCCAAAGTCAGTGAAGGTTTTTAATTTGGCATGTTTTAAAATAGGTGTTAATTATGCGGAAAATACTTCAGTTAGGTTTTGCATCAGGTTTTACTTTATAGTTTAACATCTCCCTTCTGACTGTAGTTTCTCCCATGGGCATTTGCATTTCATATTTGACTCATGTGACAATGTTTCCTGGTTAAAGTTTATTTTTTCATTTGTTTTGGTCCATGTAGCTCTACTCCATTTTATTCTTCACATTGGCCAGTGTAAACTTTTAAGTTTACAGTTGCTTTGTTATTTTCTCTTACAGGGTTATGACTCCCTGATTAAAAAGAAGGACTTTTTCAAATACTTTGCACTTTCGATTGTGTATTATGGATACCAAGGAAGAGAAGAAGGAACGGAAACAAAGTTATTTTGCTCGGTAAGCATTCATTTTACAAAATTGCTATCAGTACCTTAAAGAAATATTTGAGGGGAGTTTGTCCTCAAGGATTACTTGGCATTTTGTGTTTTGTACTTGTTCTTAAATAGAGCAGGTAACCAGAAGTAAACTGTACTTCATCCATTTTATTCACATTAGAGGAGTAACATTTGGTTCTTCTCTTTCTAGCTTTGACACTTCTCTCAGGCCACTGTTGCTCAGAGAATCCAGCTCTCAGGCTCTGACCTGCAAATTGCTCCAAATCCCATGTTTAGCAACCTACCTTGAATTTTAAATCCTAAGTGCTTAGCTCCTACTGTTCTGTAGCTTAATTGGTTGAGCTATAACTAAAAATCTCTGACACATTTAAAGCTTCTCACCTTGTGGGGAGTCTGTTACTAAAAAATATTTTTGTAGGTAGATGAAATGGGTGAAATTATATTTTTGAATCAGTGTCATTTTTAAGGCTGGAACTTGTTCAACATAAATATATTTGTTGATATCTGAAAAGAAGTAATTTAATGGATGAATGGTTACTATTTACAGATTTAAATGTCTGTATGGTAGTCATTCACTAATCATAATAAAATGAATTACGTGCTAAACATTTAGGAAACATTTTGATAAGCCAGAATGTTTTCAGACTCAGAGAACATAGGCGTAAAATGATCATTATGTTTCTCCTACATTGAAATGCGTCTTAAGGACTGAATTTATTCTCATTCCATCCCCATCCCCAGGCTGTGTTCATTAGAGATGCATTTATTGTTTTCTAAATATGAGCCTTGGAGCCAAAACCAAAGTTTATTGTTGATGTTTTTATCTGGTAATTGAGCTAGATTTTTAGGTTGATCATGGGAAAAGGAAGGAAACAATTTAAGGGCCTACTATGTACTGAGTGCTTTACTTACTATTTTAGTTGTCTTCAAGATAAATCTATGACATTGGTTAAGTTATCTCCATTTTACCAGTGATCCAGCTAAGACCTGGATAGTATTTTGTCCATTTCCTAAGAATCAGTATTAAACATAAGGCCATCTCCAAAAGGCATGTTCCAGTTAGGAATAGCAAACCATGGATAAGGGTTTTGGGGAAGCAGGAGTTAAACTACCAATTGTAGTAAAATATTTTCTGCTCTTAGGATTAGAGAGTAACCAGATTAGGGAAGGAAGAAATCAGGCATCAAATGGATGAGACCCCAGAAAGATAGGATATGTAGAATAAATCAGATGTACAAAACTGTTTTATTTTGAGATAATTTTACATTCACATGTAGTTAGTTGTAAGGAGTAATAGTTATGTGTATTCTTAATCTGTAGTACAATATCACAACTAGGAAATTCACGCTGATACAATCCACCAACCTTATTCAGAGCATTCATTGTATGTGTGTTTGTATGTATTTAGTTCCATGCAAGTTATATTACATATGTAGATTTCTGTCCTCACCATCAGTCAAGATACAGAACAGTTCCATTAAAAGGATCCTACATGCTACCTTTTTGTATTCCTACTCACTCCTTCCATTTACCTGCCTCCTCTGACAACACTATAATTTGTCATTTCAAGAATACTACATAAATGGAATCATATAGCATGTAACCTTTGGCATTTAGCTTTTTCCCCTTCAGGGTAATTCCCTTGGCATCCCCCAAAGCTGTTGCGTTTTTCAGTAGTTTGTTCCTTTTTATTGCGCCGTAGCATTCCGTAGTATGGATGAATCACAGCTTTTTAGTTATCTACCCATTGAAGGTCATTTAGGTTGTTTCCAATTTGAGCTATTTATGAACAAAGATGCTAGATGCTAGAATCATTTATGTACAAATTTTTGTATGAGCATGAGTTTTCATTTCCCTGAGATAACTGTCCAAGAGTGCAACTGCTGGGTCAAATGGTAGGTGTATTTTCAGTTTTATAAGAAACTGTAATACTCTTCTGAAATGATTGTAAAATTTCACATTTCCATCAGCATAGTCGAAGTGATCCAGTTTCTCTGCATTGTCACCAGCATTTGGTGGTGTCAATATTGTTTATTTTAGCTATTCTGATAAGTATGTAGTGATATCTGATTATGGTTTTAATTTGTATTTCCTTAATGCCTAGTGAAGTTGAACATTCTCTTGTGCTTATTACTAGCCATATGTATATCTTCTTTGGTGGAATCTCCTTTTCTATCTATCTTTTGCCCATTTTCTAATTGAATTGTTTAGGTTTTTACTGTTGAATCGCACACATTCTAGTCTTCTGTTGGTTATGCGGTTTGCAAATATTTTCTCCTGGTGTGTAGTTTGTCTTTTCATCCAATTAACAGAGTTACAGAGCAAAAGTTTTTAATTTAGATGTGGTTCAATTTATCAATTTCTCCTTTTATGAATTGTGCTTTTGGTCTGAATTCTAAAGTCTCTTTGCCTAGTTCTATGTTCTGAAGATTCTCTACTGTTTTTTTTTTTTTGTTTTTTTTTTTTTCTAAAAATTTTATGGCATTATGTTTTATATTTAACTCTGTGATCCATTTTGAATTTATTTTTGGATAATGTATGAGTTTAGGCCAAGATGGTAGTCATCCTTCTCCTCCCCCTCTCCCCTTCTCTCTTCCTCCCTTTCTTCCTTCTCTTCCTCCTTCCCCTTTCTTTCTTCTCCCCTCTCCTCCGTCCTCCTCCTTACTTTCTTCTTCATCTTTCTTTCCTTTCTTCTTCCTCACATGCCCTACACAGTGATTTTAAAAGTTACAGTGTCTTCTCAGTCTGAATCCAAAGCAATTCCTGTAGTAAACGTAATTGCCGATTCACAAACAACCTGTTCAATGTTAACCTCTTCGTGTTCCTGAAATGTAGAGTCAGGGGAGCCCCTGAAAATGAAAAGACAAATAAAAACTGTTCTGGAATAGCAGCAGTTTTTTCAACTCAGAAATGTAAAATTGTCATGCTTATCATGACCTCTTCTGAAAAGCATTCTGACAGTGAAACAAAAAACATATCCCAAAATGCCGAAGTATGATCTTGGGAGCATAGGGACAGTGGCACAAGCACAAAATCACTGGTGCTGTTAAGACAGTAAGAAAACATAATTTGTAACTAGGAGATGAGAAAGGTAGAGGGAGAGAGGAGAGCGGAGAGAAGACGGGGTGAGAGCAGGGAAAGAAAGGGAGAGAAACGCTGACCGACAAACCTGTAGTTTAGCTCTTATAATGCAGTGAAAGCCAGAAATGGTCAAGCTGTTAAAAGTAAAAGACAAACCAAAGAAAAAAGAACCCCTTGCAACCTACGATCAGAAAAGAGTCATTCGAAGTTATACATCTTTTCAAATGGCTTCTGGCTTAACTGTGGAATTATCTGGCTTAACTGTGGAATTATGTAAAGTGTAATTAGCTACAGAACTTACTTGAAAGCCAGTTTCTGACAACACAGGGCAGAGTTTTCTGGAGCAGAATGCTTAAGGGCAGTCCAGGCAAGATCTCTAGAGGGAAGGATAAAGTGTCAGGCCAAGGGTGAGGCCAAATTGATGCAATCACAGTTTTCTCTAAACTACATTATGCCACTTTACATAAATCTCAACTAGTGTTCAGAGGAAGTCAAAAGGGAAATTTACCCGGATGTTGTGCCTGCTGCCACAATTATGTATCTGAACCCCCTAAAAACTGCTTTTTAGGCTGTTTACCCCTTCCACCTTGCCTTTTTCCTCCTGAGTAGTTAAATAGCCAATGTTTTCTTTGTGTGCTATCTTATCCTGTGGTTTCATAATCATTGCATGACTGGTAAATAGTCCTTTGCCAAACCTGTTTTGTTAATGTTTTCCTCTTTAGTTTAAAATCAAAGCAAAGTTTAAAATACCCTATTTTAATAATTTTGAATTGAAGTTAGTGATTTGAGGGTCACCTAGTCTTTCCTTGTTTATAATTTATCTTGAAATATGCCTGTGTAACCCTAAATAGAGGGGTGGATTAATACTACTACTAGAAAGAGTAATTCTGGATAAGACTGGTAAATTTTTAGGATTTTCTGACCCTGGTCCACCTAGTTTTCAGGAGCTTCAGGATACTTTTGTACCAGTTGTTAAATCTAGACTGATTTGTGAAATCATTTGTGTATTAATTTCTTGATCCCGTTAGATCTTGAAAACCAAACGAAAAACTGAATTACTATAAAGCAAATTATACTTTCTGTACTATTTGTACTGTGTTCAATTTATACTATCTTCTGGGGTGACTGTCATGTGTCATTTGTTACACCTCTGCTGACTCTTCCTTCCCCTAATAGTTAGAATGCAGGTATTTTTTTTTTTCTTTTTTTCTGCTTAGACATCATGTTCAACCTGAGTAGTTATTACTTTAGTAATGCCACACAGGGCTCTCTTACACACTTGCTTGGCATTATTTGGCTTTTGTGATTTTTGTATGCTATTGGTCGAAGGTTCTTTGAAAGCATTTTTTTCAGGATCAAGGGTTAATTGAAGATATCCAAAATACATCTGTAGTTGAACCAAATGGCCTTTTGTGGGAGGTTTACTTCTCCCCTCTGATAAAGTGTGAGAGGACCTGGGAGTAAACAGCGAGTAATATGGACACAGACACAGACTGGGTGTTCACCTAGGTTCCTTGCTGGCTCCCACCTCCCATATTCCCTGGTTGTCATGAAAAGCAGAACTGTTGCTCCCACCTATGCTTTCCTTTAACCCAGCCCCTTCAGAGCAGCAGTAGGAGCCTGCACCACCTCTGTCATCATTCTTAGTGGCAAAGGATGCAAAATGTAGAACATTTCTTAGCTCCCATCTCCAGTCTCTGCCCTGGCATTTCTTCACCCTTGAACCTCTGCCGCAGCAGCAGAATACCTAGTGTTTTGCAGTTTACTCCAGCATATAACCTCGGGCAAGTTTTCTAAGCTTCTTTTACCTTACATTTCTTCAGTTGATAAATGTGGCTAAAAGTAACCCACTAACAAGATGATTTTGAAGAAGGAGACATCCCAGCCAGTCAGAACTGGAGAGAGGCTCAGATGGGACCC